GAAAAATGCCGTTGTATATTATGCGAATTTGATATAGTGTTACAAAAGGACATTGTAGTATTGCTTTCTAATTGTATTGATATCCTTCTGAATATGGTCTATGGGAGCGAAACATGTAAAGGATAAAGGATTAAGAAAAAACCATCAGTCACACTGGACGGAATTAATTATCCTTTTGTATTATTGTTGGGGGAACGCGGTAGCGTAGTTGGTTGAGGCACTATGCTACAAGCCGGAAGGTAGCGGGTTCAAGTCCCGATGAGGTCATTGGATTTTTTTCAATTTACCAAATCCTTCCAGTCGCACTATGGCACTGCGGTCGACTCAGCCTCTAACAGAAATGGGTACCAGGAATATTCTTTGAATGTTCTATGAGCCGATTGTCTAGAAAATGTGGGAACCTCAACGTCTCACAACCCTATGGGCCTTCACGGCCTGGTACAGGGATAGCCTTACTTTACTTTATAATATTGTTATTATGACGGACCAGATTGAAACAAATCAAACTTGGTGTGATATAAAGAATAATAATAGAGACTAACTTTATGAACAGAGTTGTGAATAATTCGAATCCCGAAATGCCTCTTACTTTACTCTTATACCTGTGAGAAAACTTTTTCTTGAATAATGTGAAGTGTTTAAGAAGGCATCCTCGCATAAGTGCAACCGAGCTGTGTGTTGAAACACAACATTGACCTCTTATACGTGGGGACCGAGCTGGATCAGTAGGTATGGTAACTAGGCTAGGGAATAGACTGCCAAGGAACTGAGGTTCGAATTACTTGGTGGAGCTCCGTCATAATAGTGAAAACCTTTTACTGAGAGTATGGTCGAACAGGGGCCGCGCCATGGCTCAAGCGGTTAGTCGCTGGCTTCCCACCGCGGCGGCCCGGGTCTGGTCAAGTGGGATTTATGGTGGACAAAGTGGCGCTGGGGCAGGTTTTCTCCGAGTACTTCGGTTTTCCCTGCCAATCTTCATTCCACCAAATTCTCCATCATAATCACACGGGGCAGGCTACA